GGGGGGGGGAAGCACCAAAGGTGGACACCAAACCCAAATGAAATGAATCAGGCAAACGTCAAGATACTGAAACTACTTTAAATGAAATAAAGAGAAACTAGAATTACTAAGCATACAACTTAGCAGAGAGTTTACAAAAAAGAACAACGTTTGAGTGCAATTATACTGACAAAGTTCTAMCTAGCCTTCATCTACTCCAACTCTCTCCACTATAACTGAGAAACAGAAAACTTTAAAGTACTTAATTCTGTGGAAAGGTTAGGATGAGAATTTATGATCTTTTCTTCCCTTCTATTGTTAAAGCCATTCAACTACTTATATAACCACTGGTATATCAGGCCTGTAAGTTTTAGATTGTTTGATATTTGCATAAGAATGAATAATAACTATGAACTGCTTTGTTTTACCTAACTAGGATATTATATGAACTGTTCATTTCAGAGATCCTTCCATATTAATATATTTATCTGCCTCATTTAAAAAACTATAACATATTATAGTGTATTAACATACCAGATTACCATTTCTTTACATTTAAGATAGTTTAGTTTTTCTTTACCATGTTGCAGGAATATCCTCTTACTAATTGTGATGCATATATTTAATAATTCTACTGGAGTGAATACTGAAAAGTGCAACTGTTAGGTAAAGTAATATTTATAATGAAAACGAGTGTTTATAAAACCGAGGTACTGTGTTCAAGAACCTTGTAAAAATATCTAATCCTCACGATAACACTATGAGATGGGTAATTTTTAAAAAATTTGTTCTGGGTAATTTCCTTTTTTTTTTTACTGGTACTTACAACTGAGTCACATCCCCAGGCTTTTAAAATGTTTTATTTGGAGACAGGGTCTTGCTAAGTTGCTTTAGGACATTGCTAGATGGCTGAGGCTGGCTTTGAACTTGCGATCCTCCTGCCTCACCCTCCCAAACTGCTGGATTATAGGTTTGCTCCACTAAACCCAGCCACAGGTATGCTTACTATTAAAATAATTMTCATTTATAAAAAAGGGTAACCAAGGCATATATGTTTTTAATTAATTCACCTAAGATCATTAATCTAGTAAGTGGCAGAGTCACCACAAAACATTTTCCAAAAAAGTCTAATTCTATTTTCATATGTCTCTTCCAAAAATGTATGTGATTATCGATTTCCAACTTGCCCACTAAGATAACTAAAGATAGAATCTTATATTTTGATGACCTGATTGAGTAACTTACTAGATGTACTTTAATAGCTCTGCTTGAGTCCTCCAGGGGGCATGGCAGGAATTCAGAGATTCTGGACACAGAGGAAAGAAGTTCACTATGTTTTGCATTGACTCTGCTATGTCTCATACAGATGAACATTAGAAAAGGGCATATTTTCCTTTGTCATCCCTGAGGTCAGGGTCACACAGYCCCCTCCTGCTTAGGCTATACTGGATAAAACTCAGGGAAAGCTGAAGAGTACCATGAGAAAAACTAGTCTAACAGATGGCAGAAACAAATGCAAATTTATATCTCTAAGAYAGCATCAATACTAGGACAGTCCCAGGCACTGCTTCTTAGTCCTTTACATGTTTAACCTCCAAAAAAAAAAAAAAAAATCCTGAGATTGGTAATATTATCTTCCTTAGAGAATAAATGAGAAAAGAGACACAAAGAGATTAACTTGCCCAACATTATTCAGCAAGTAGTAGCAGCTGTGCCATTTAAACCCAGTTCAGGTCCAAGTTCATGGTCTTTACCACTAGACTCTTTCCTCTTCCATATTTTAATTTTCAAGAATATTAACAGATGAGGTTTTTTTTAATTAAAAAGGGAGGAAACATAATAAAAATAAGTAATGAATGTATTTCCTTCCATCCCCAAAAGTACGTTGTTACTTTTTATGTCATGGTGAATCACATTATTGGCATGTAAAAACTCCAATGCCTGTAAACACTGAACACAAGAAAACACATATCAATGAAACAGTCCTGGAAAGTCCCATTCACTAGTTCACACAGAGTCATTGTAACTACTACTTATGGCCTTTAGCACTGTCTATAGTATTCAGCCAAAGACCCTGCAATACTTAACATTTAAAAGGAAAGCATCATCTYATATGCAAAGTTCTGAAAATATAATGACTTAATTAGAAGATCCCCTTCCACACTGTGATCTCATCTAGAGACATTTTTAACTAATATCTTATTAAGTCCTTTCTTTCCCAATRATTTTTTTTAGACAAGGCCTTTCTATGTTACCCAGGCTGGCCTCAAATAATCCTCCTGCCTCAGTTTCCTGAGGAGCTAAGACTGCAGACACCTGCCTTGTGCCCAGCTCATCCATATATTTTTCTATTTTTTTTTTTTTGCAATGCTGGGAATCAAACCCAGGGCACTGTCTATATTAGGCAAACACTGTCTGTGCCATGGATTTTAAAAACTGAGTGTTCAGTAGTCTCTAATAAAATGAAGGATGAGTCCATATGACTTTTAGGTCTTTTCAGGTTTAAATGCCTAATAGTACATAGCACTTGGTAAATAAGCATAAGTTCTTTTAAAAAATTTTTTTATTATTAGTTGTTCAAAACATTACATAGCTCTTGAATAAGCATAAGTTCTTTACAAATTATTTCCACAGTAGAGAATAAACTTGTGGTTATTTTCACTTGAAACTGAGGTTTCATCAATGTGAGCCACTGAGAGAAGCAGGCAAGATGGAGGGTGGTCTGGTTGCATTGAGGGGTTCGTCAATATAATGTTCTGTCTTCTTCATTTCTTCTCTGGTAGATTTTATGTCAAGCTATCTCCACAGCCTGATGCTAAGCATGAAAATATATGGTTAGGGATAGAGTTCAGTGGTAGAGTCCAGAATGTTTGAGGCCCTAGGTCTGATACCCAGAACCAAAGCAAAGAAACAAAAATATCCACCACAATTAAAAATAAATAAATAAATAAATAATAACCATCTGCAACTAAAAATATTTTCTAAAAGCAAGCATAAATTACCCCCTTCCTTAAATACAAGAATGAGATTTAAAAAATTTCTTTGCCCCCTGGTTTTTTAATACAAACTGATAGGATAAATTATATACTTGGGAAAAGTTAGTTGTATTTTCATTTTCATTTCCATCAGAGTAGAAGAACAACAAAGTCTGTACATTATTTGTAACTAGTAAAAATATCATTCAAAATATTCTACTATTATACAAAGAAAAAACATATAAATGTTATTATCATATTACATTTACCAGGCATTTAATCAGATTCTTGAAAAGACACAGAAAAATACTTATACAAATAAGTAGAAATAAACTTGTCACAAGTTAAAATTTGGGAAACATAAAAGAAACCTCAAGTGAATGCAGTTAGAACAACTCCTAAAATATATTTTATATCAGGTATGAAAAAATTGATAAAAAATAAAGTATAAATAGAGAAATTCTTAAGTTTTGATTAGTTTTTAAGTGACTAAATATAGTCTGTTTAAGGGATGATATTCAGAACTATGAAAAAGTTCTTCCTTCCTTCCTTTAATTATTTCAGTTAAACACAACTCAGAATTAAATTTTCAAAGAATGTTGCCTTTATAAAACTAATTCACTATGTATTATACAAAGTTTATAATTCACTATGTTTTACACCATAGTCCCTCATAAATATTTATAATTTTGTCATTTATGACAAAGATCCCTGTGACATCAGGACAAAGTAGTATCAATGACAATAAGCAAACAATTAACCTAAGTCTCCTGTATAGAAAAGTTATGAAGAGACAGATGGAGCTTGTTTTTGGCTTAGACTTAGGCAATTTGGAAAATTCAAATAGCTTAAGCAAACATTACATCTGAAAGTTCATTAAAATTTATAAAGAAACAACCATTTCTTCGCCTTCAGTAAGCTCAATAAAACCAGAGGCAGACTTACTGATATGGAAGGTGAATGTGTGCTTTGTCTGTGATAGTTCTAGTTCCCAATTTTTTTGGGGGTGGGGGAAGGTACTACTGGGTGCCAGAAAAGGGACACTAGAGATTTAATCAAGAGAAACTTTCCATTGAGCTACATATCTCCAGCACTTTTTACATTTGAAATTGAGACAGGGTCCCACTAAGTTGCTTAGGGCCTCCCTAAATCGCTGAGGTTGACCTTGAACTTGCAATCCTCCTGTCTCAGCCTCCTGAGTAACTGGGATTACGTCAGGCACCGCCACACCTGGCTGAGTGGTATATTTTTAAAAGCACCCCCTTTTATTCTCAAAAGTGCATTGTCTGGATGATAAACTATTGTGATGACTATAAAGAGATTTGCAGTGAATTTAGTTCTTCAAAGACTTTAACTAGGCATGCATGTAACCCCAGTTACACCAGAGGTGGAAGTAGGAGGATCACAAGTTCGAGGMAACTTTGAGATTGTCTCAAAAATTTAAAAAAATAAGAAGAACTGGAGATGTAGCTCAGTGATGGAACACCCCTGGATTGAATCCCCAATAACACACACACATACAGAAAAGGGCCTAAATCCCATTCCCAAGGTATCCTACACATGAAGGCTTGAAACCCTCATCAGAGATGAAACAGTATACATTGCAGAAATTCCCTGTGCAGAAAAACTTTCCTTTAATTCATTTCTTGCTGACCATACATCACACCCTGCTTTATCCCAAAGAAAGAAAACTCACCTCTATGCACATAGCAGCAATCTGCGCCTCATCCATGCAGGTTTCTGTTACAACATCAGTCAGTGGCCCACCAGCAAGGTACTCGGTCACTACAAACAAGTCATCTCTGACCAGGTAACTAAAAACAGTACATACAAAACATACATTTTATTTTTTTAAACATATGACACTCTTTGTTCCAGAGTTCAAATGTTAAGTGCCATAATAATAAAACTATAGAACTGATAGTTTGAGAGCCAAGAAAAACATTGGAAAGTTACTATGTAACAGCACAAAAAAAGTCTGAGGGCCATTATGATATTCATTATGAATTTTAAGTCATAGTTTGCCCATAATAGTAGTCTCGGTGTATATTTAGAGTTTTCCAACAAAAATAACCCTATAACATAGGGATTATTGGTCTTGTTTTACAGATACAGAGACAGAGGCTTGGAGAGGTGAAGAAACTCATCTAAGATCACATAGTAAGTGACAGAATCAGCATCTGAAGTCAAATTGTAATGATTCCAAAGCCTATTGCTTATCTTAACCAACAAACCAAGCTGACTTGAAATATTACTTTCAAAAGAGAGAAATATACCTGAAAATTTATTTCCATGAATACAGACACCCAAACCCCATGATTAGGCTAAAGTCTCAAAATATATTATCATTTACCCATCCTAAAMAATTTATATATGGAAGAAAATCACCTGTAACTCTCTAATACAACCACTAGTATCATTTTTTACAAGTTGTCTTTCATTCATATATTTGATAACTTTAAAAAATTGAATAAAATATGTAATTTTCTATTCTGTCCTTTTTTTTCTTTTCAATCAATTTCTAATCTATATGAGCTTTTTATTGTTTGGTGGGGGTACCAAGTATTGAACTCAGAAGTACTCAACCACTGAGCCAACTCATTAGGCCCTTCCTAAATTGTGGAGGCTGGCTTGGAACTCATGATCCTGCTGCCTCAGCGTCTCCAGTCAGTGGGATTATAGGAGTGCACCACCACTTCTGGCCTATGAGCTTTATATAAACATGAGCTTTCTATAAACATATACAATTTGYCCACAAAGAATAGGAGTTGAAATAAAAACTGATCTAAATGTTTAAGAATTGTCTGCTAGTCAACTCTGTGGGGTAATACATGAATCCCAGTTGACCATTCCTTAATGTTTCTGCTTCTGATCATTTGCCTGAATATACACACCATCAGCAATGTCCTCATTTAGCTGACTTCTCTTACTTTCCAAGTAATATCCTTGTAAGCAAAAGAACCTTCTAACTTGGAGTAAGTTATTTTCACCTCTCCTCTTTCTCTTTTAAGTTTACTTCAGTGGCTAACCCTAACCTTCCTTTGAAACACAAGCCTATATAAATTTCCATATCTTTACCTCAATCTTTAAAAGAACCTCAAACATATTTACCTGTCCAGTAAGTTAATTATGTTGGGAATCTTTAATTCTTTCATCACCAAAAGCTCATTGGGGATCAGGTCCTTCCATGGATATTTCTGTATATAAATGTGTTTAATTGCAACCTACCATGGAAACAGAATGGGAATAAAATGGTTTTCTTAATTCTCTTAGAATGTAACAAACACTAACAAGTCACTAATTTATAGTAACACATGATATTATATAGTGAGAGTATAACTGACAAATGGTATTTTTACTTGCACACTGACTATGCACAGTGTTTTATACTACCTGGACCCCAAATATATTCAGACTTATCTTGAAGTTGATTAACCAACTTAAGACCAGTCCAGTGCCAAGAATAACCCTCTTTTCACTCCAACCTGGGAAAACATTTTTTAAATATTTGCTTATAGATGACGTAATTCCTTCTTTGTTCCCCCTCATGTGATAATGGCTATAAAATTATAGAGATTAATTCTTACAACATATCCAATTAAAAATATTCTTATTGATTATGCTTAGCATTATCTAGTTTTTCTCCTAAACAAAAAGCTAATATAACATCTAGAAGTATGAAAAAGTTGGTACCTTTTGTTCCAGAGTCACATCAATAGTAGTAAAAACTGGACCAGAAAACCTAGGGGAAACAATACACAATCAGAATTCAGATTTCTAAATCCCTGCCATAGGCTTCACCCTTCTCACTGTTAATTTTTAGATTTAGCATTTTAAAAATAGAAAAAGGAAAGGGAAAAGAGGATGCAATCCTTGTAGCCCAAATTTTGATTTGAAATATTTTAGACCTACAAAAATACAGGGAAAAAGATAAAGAATGAATAACAGACACTCTTGCAGACAGCTGCCTACTTAAGGAACAAACAACTGCAACTGGAAGTTTCTGGTATACCCTTGCCTGCAGCGTTCTCCCTCCACCCAAGGGGACCTGCATTGGGTGTTCATCCTGTGTTTTATGTGTGAGTTTCCAAGCACTTTTCTATACTTTTAACTACGAAGTTCCTGTTTATGTATTTCTCTGCTATTTGCTTTTAAAAATTTATCTGACTGGGCATGGTTGTGGGAGACCAACCTTGCATGTGACTGATTCACACTCCCTGGCTGGATGCTGAGGCGCTCAGTCACAGAAATGTGGTAGAGCTTTCCCCAACCTTCTTGGGTTCAAGTGTCTCGTGAATGGGTGTGTCTTGCTACAGCCCCATGGGTGAAGCTACGCTTACCTGTCCTTTTGTAATATAACCCCTTGCCCTGTTTAGGATAGAATCTTCCATGGAAGTGCCTTGKGTGTATCCCCTTGTCTTACTGTGTCTTTGGGTGTGGCCTACCCAGGTGTCAGTCAACCTGCTGACAATGGACATCATGAAGATAGACTGAGCCCCCTGAAACCTGACCCCTTGCCTCATTTGAATAGATTCTCCTCAATAAAAGGGGTCAGCACATGCTCTCTCTCTGTCTCTTCCTGCAGACCCTTAAGGTCACAGTGACCCCAAAGAAAAAGGTATTTGTGTCTCTTGTGTGGTTATTTTGCGAAGYCCAGTCATCCCAGTTTTCCTGGAGTAACCCCTGAGCCTTTTAGTCATGAGAACAGAAACCTGGCACATGGTGGCACACAACTGTAAAGGGGCTGGGGAACTAGCTCAGTGGTGAAGTGCCTCTGGGTTCAATCCCCAGGACCACAAACAAACTAATAAACAATTCACCTGGATTTCTGTTACCTATCCACATACATAGGTATGATTCTTTTTCATTCATTATTAATTATTCAACATATTACATCTATTATCATGTTCAAAATATTAAGGTGATTATCAATTTTCTATTATTATTAAAATCAGTGCTGAACTGAATTTAGTTCTTAAAAAAGAAATTTACCATAAGAATTTTTCCAAAAGTTCTCATTCTAAATCCCACTTATTCTTTATAAATTCACAGAACATTTCTAGAGATTAGTAACAATAAAAATTCAAGGTGTTTATTTGCTCTCAAGCAATAGAGGAAAGAGCTTCCTATAGTTTAAAAACAATTAACTGAGCAAAATCACAGTGGTAGACTCAAAAGATTAATAATAATAAGATTCAAAAATATTTTATGTATTTATTTATTTATTTAGTACTGAGGACTAAACCCAGCGGTACCTTACCACTGAGCAAACTCCCCAGTCGTCCCCTTAATTTGTGTTTAAAATGCTTGACTGAATTTTCAATGTTGTTTTTGTTTACAATAGGAACTATTGTGAGCATAGGTGACCCTAAGACCCTAAAATAATTAATAATATTTTTAAACACATTTTAAACACAAAATTAATTTTAGTATCATAATTCCTTTTAATAAACTCTACTGATTTTAAAACAGTGGTTTTTCAAACACATCAAGTTTCAACAATAATTGGTTCCCCCCCMAAAAAAAAAAACTGAAGAAATTTAATAGAAGCAAAAAGTTGTCCCAAACAAGAAGACACATATTTTCCATAAGCTTGGGACTCCTAACTAATCACTTCCTCAAATTTCATGACATTTTAGAACAACCAATTGTTCTTATCCGCCTGAGAAGTAAGGGGATTCTCAGGATGTACAGCTTTCCAAATGGCAATTCCAGCAGGGTATGGTGGCACATGCTTGTAATCCCAAATATCCAGGARCTGAGGCAAAAGAATCACAAGCTGGAGACCAGTCTTGGAAACTCAGTGAGACCCTGTCTCAAAACAAAAAAATAAAAAGGATTGGGGTACAGCTCAGTGGTAAAGCACCCCTGGGTTCAATCCCCAGTACCAAAAACAAAAACTTGGCAGTTCATGAGAAATTCCTCACTGTACTTTTCTTCTCCACTGCATGTACTATACACTTATGACAAATTATGAAACARCTATCAGTAATAATAAAATAATGATAGCCAAATGAATAATCCTAACTGATTTTTCTGAGTATTCCAGTATATCTTCTTAAAATATATTTAGCAAACCACCTACTACTATAGAGATTACYCTAATATAAACTAAACATAGAATGATTTTAGGAATTTCAAAGTAATGACTAAGAAATGGTAAAATTAGGAGGTTGGATATAAAATCCTAGTGTAAATTCTTATGACCACTAAGTTAAAATGTAAGAAAATCACATTAAAATTTCACTTACTCAAGATAAAAGTAGACAGGGCCATGTCAAGGAAACTCACATAAATAATCTTATGTAGGTACTCAATCTCAAGTTAGCTACTAAGATTCAAGCCAAGAAGCTAAGGGTATAAAGATAGGGGAGATGTGATAACTAAGGGTCACAAATAAATATCACAACTAACAACTTTAGTTTATTTTTTAAACAGCAGCCCTCCTAAGATAAGGATTATTATATGTAAATATCTATAGGCAATCACAGTCAACATAGTTTTCTATTGGAAAATACTGAGGAATCAAGAACAAATAAATGTTGAACATGTGATTATAACAACCCATCTCTATTTTTCCTTGAACCTTCTAGGTCACATTGTTTTTTGTAACTATWGTTACTGGAGCCTTGTAATCAGACATTATTTTGTTACGCCCTTCCTGGTACTGTTTACATTTTTTATAATGCTTGATTCAGGCCAATGAGAGTAAATAATTTAAAAGGGACAAGGAAAATGTGTTTTTCATTGGAATATATACTATGATTATATGTTTCTATTTTGAAAAGCTATAGGTTTGGACAAATATATACAAACCTGCTTTGCTAAGATTTCCAAATATGTCCCTGTTCATATCCTTTAGATTTGGCTCATAGGAAATAAGTGTTGCTACCAAAAGGACTGACTTCACTATCAATACATAATATATTTGAAATGCAGTATCATTCAAAATGAATATTATTTTGCCTCCACKTTTTTTGGGTGGTACTGGGGGTTCAATCCAGGGGCACTAGAGCCCTGAGTTATAAACCCAGCCCTTTTTATATATTTATTTTGATACAGAGTCTCACTAAATTACCCAGACTGACCTTGAACTTGAAATCCTCTGCCTCATTCTCCTGAATTGCTGGGATTATAGCTATGTGCCACCAYGCCCAGCTTACTACATTTGAATTGAAGTGTTTTCACCTATAGGAAAAGTTATTCTTTCTGCTTTAAGTTAAAATAAAAGGTATATATATTTCAATTCAACTGTGTGCGCATGTGCGTGTATGTATGTGTGTGTGTGTGTGTGTGTGTGTGTGTGTGTGTGTG